ATAACTACAGAGCAACACTGGGAAATCACCCCTTCTTGGGTAGATTACTACCCAAGTTAATTCTGCTTGTGTTTTGGGCAGGAAAACCATTTATATCAGGCATGGTTTTTGTCCCTACTTTAAATGGCAGCAAGATATTACACCTTGTACAAATTAAACCACAGAAAACAAATTGTGTTTTTGGAGGTAGTATCCTTCCCTGTGCTATGTACACTCATGCAGTCCACTGCTCCGGAGCTTGTCTGGGCAGCAATGGATGATTATCCCACAACTGGGGTTCTCGCTACTCCTGTATTTACTAGGAACTCAATCTCTCATCCTTATACCCTTATCCACACACATCAAGCTTCACTCAGCACTTACAGAGTTGGGCTAACTACTGAAGTCTTTGCTGCACACATGTGCTGTGCAAACTGGTGGTCATACTCAGTTTGGACTCCACTTGTTTCCTGAAGCATTTATCATGGCATCTACCACCTGCAGCTGGTCCTCCTGGACCTGCTGCTTTAATGGTCAATATTACTATTCCTTCCTAGTTTGCATCCCGGCAAAGTATTGACATCGTGGGTTAGCAGGCATTTGCTGAGCTGTTTGTTTGAACCATTAACCCCTGTATCTTTGCTAGTCTGTAAAGTATGGTAATTGTCATTACCAGTGACCCATTTGTCCACACATGAAGTATATATTTTGCTCTTTCAATTCTGTTGGATACATGGATGAGATGTTGACCACAGTGGTGGCAGGTACCTCATAGCTGGACCTTGTTGTGTTGTAAATATCTTGGTGGAGGTAAATGTCCAACTGATAGTCCATGCTGTGACATGTTTCCTCTGGGAGGAACTGATTCATCCTACACACTCACCTAATATGGGTATCAAGTACTTCTATTCTGTGGAGGGGGCTGGGGATAAACCTTCCACACTGGTCTAATCTGCCACAGTGAACACATCTGTGATGGGCCATCTATTAGGGGATTCACCATTACATCAGTCATTACAGACTTCCCATTCTCAGACAGCCAGCTCAAAGTGACCACTTCATAGCATGAAGCTATCGACACTGCTTCCACATGGATTATTATTTTCCTTATCCCAGATGTCTGCTAAACCATTCTAGCAGACTTCAACTGTCCACATTTCCCTCTTACCAAAGTTGATCCTCAGGGACACTAGCTGCTCAACTGGCCTAGGTACTCCAGATGAAAGCAAACCTTCTTGAGGCTAATCGATCTCATGGACCTTTCCAGCATTGGAAAAAGTCCTATATCTAGGAAAAGACTTTTCCTAGATGTGACACCTCTACTGTGCCACTATCTATTTCCTTTCATGAATACTTCCTCTCTCTCTGTTCCAAGTACTTCAATGTCCAAAAAATTTCATTTTATTTTGAAAAAGCATTCCTTGAAACATTTTTTAACCTCGAGAGATAAGTGAGGACTAGTATGCTCGTTATCAGCCTCAGAAACTCTACAATAAGTCCTGTTTGACATGGCACCCAAAATGTCCCTCTTCCTATCTACTTGAGGTGTTTTGGGTGGAAGCAAATATCCCTACAAGTATCACATAGGTTGTATTCTGCAAAAATAGCAGATTCGGACAAGAAATTAGGGGAGTAAGTAGTGTAAGTAAACTGAGTTTCTTTAAGTGTGAGTAATAAAGAAACTGGACAAGATTTACAAAAATTAATACTCAATCTTTATTAATAAAAATAAAAGAAAACACATCAAGCGCACCCGCGCAGACAACAAGATCTCACCAGGATGGTCTTTAGGCTCTTTACTTTTTCTCCCACAAGACTGACTACTGTAGAAATTAAACATCGTAGTCTCCAAGAAAACAAGTCTTTCTTTCCTATCGCCTAGTATAATTCTTTCCAGCTGAATAACAATAATAAAAAACACGCTCGAATTTCAAATAAACTCTTTGTCCAATCTGCATGATCTTAATTTTTTCACAGTATTGGTTAGCTGTAGCTTTTAGTGACGTCACCATCGGCCAGTGAACAGATATCACAATTGTAATCCATAAAGCCGGATTTTACCTGTACTACTGCAATGTCCTACGAACAAATGATATGTCACCTACCAGAGCATAAGGAAAGGATTCCTTATGCTCTATTAGGTGACATATAAGTAGCTGAAAGCCTGTAGACTTAATTCTTCTTGGACCATATGTGCCCACCAGCCTCCAGTGGTTTAGCGGTAATCCTTCAGGATTATAATGCTAAAAATCGGGTTTCGATACCCGTGGTGGGCAGAACACAGATAGCCAGCGCATTGTGTAGATTTGTAGTTGTTGCCACCATGACAGTAAGGAAACTTACAACAGAAAAAAATAATAAAACTCATATATTACTATACAGGACCTTAGTAAGCGGTAACGCCAGTCAGGCCATAGCCTGATCACTTTTTCAAGGCATGTATAGCTGCAACTTATGTATTAAAACTTGCTTCTTTTCATTTAATACACTATGTTGTGTGTATGCAGCATTTGTAGTTAAAATGGCTCAAGATTCAATCTCATAACATTTTATTTTTTCAGACATTTTCTGGGGAGCTTACCCCCTATAAATGGCAATGAGGCAATGGCCTGAACACTCTAAAATTGCTTTCTATGGCAATGAATGGCGTCACATTACACTCGTCTTTAACATTGGTTGTTGTTTGAATGAATAAATATTGTTTTTTCCTGTGTGTAACTTCTTTTTTTGTGTAGAACTCATTCAAAGAAAGAGAAAATCACATTTTTGATCCGCACTATATTTTCTGTTAACTCCAATTATTTCATATTTCCTATCCAAGTACTCGACGAAAAATTAATTAAAAGTGAATATAACACAACAGTAAAGCTTAAAATATTGTTACGACAGCGGAAGTCACGTGACGCTAGTAACACGTCATGAGATTCTCGAAGGATCATGTCTGTTGGTGGCAACTCTAGTCTTTTCTACACGCCCTCTAATTTTGTATAAATATAAACCAGCAAATGAAGGGACGACATAAAAGATAATTGCAGACAGGTAGAGATAGAGACGGATAATCGAGTCAAGCGTGGTAGTGACCATAAGTAGAGTGCGTGAATCGTTGTGAATTATAGCGTGTGTTTAAGTTAAAGTGACTGTGGAAATTAAGTGTAT